AATTTTAGGGGTTGCGATTTCCACCCCTCACAACCATGGGGTAAACCGAATAAATTTCTGGCTAAGTGTCTTTTTGATAGTACAAAACGTCAGGTTAATTTCAATATTGTAACTTTTTTAGTGCTTGTGAAAAAAATTGTTATACAAATTTCATGTACCTCCTTTAAGGGGCTGTATTTTATCAAGGGATGCTCCAATGAAGTTTCTTTATATGAAAGATCCTATCTTTTTTTCGATGAGGAATCACCTCCTTGAATGTTTTACACTTATTCAGTTACACCCTGTATAAACGGCTCGAAAACCAAAAAAGGCTCTGAATATGGAGTTTACTCCAGATCAATAAGAATAAGGTTTGAATGGGGAATGGAAAGAAATATCAGCGTGGTTCGAATATATCTGGCTGGTATCTCAATCGCCACAAAAGAAATAACCAAGAAAAGAATTTCTGGCAAAAACATAACAATCCGCAGTGATACGAGACAAGCTTATTATCCTTGAACAGACAACGTGTTACCTCAGGGCTAGTACTGAAGTGTCACCAAGATTTACTCAAAACCTAGGTAGACATTATCCTGAGGTGGGTTAAAGGGCACGACAGGAGTAAAAGTAATCACATTGCCGATTCTTTAGCCAAGAAAGCGGCTGGACTAAGAATTTTAGGACCCAGTGACACCTAAACCCTGATGATGCGGAACTAGTCAAACGTTACACCCATGCTCAATCCCTAAAGATATGGAATGGAATCAAAGGAAGCAATCTTGCCAGGATCACCCTGGACGACCCTGAGAAGCTGACGCCGAAGAAATATCTGGCGATGACCAGGAAAAACCTATGCTTGACAGGATGTGTGAACCTCTATGCAGGATGTGTGAACAGGAAAATGAGACTGTCAGGCATGTCCTGTGCGAGTGCCCGGAGTTATCGTCAATAAGATTGTGTGTGTTCGGCGAGTCTTGGCCTTCACCTGCCGATATAAAGGGCATGTCTCCTAGTGACCTGTCCACCTTCCTGGAAAGGACAGGATGGACGATGACCAAGGAATACAACTCCTCGGGTCACATTTGGCTCAAGTGATGTGGGCCTTCACTCACCCTCCCTACTCTACAGATACAGTTGTCAGTATTCGAATAAACGTATTTCTCTTCATTCTTAATACACTCGTATTCCTTTTTTAATAGATTTGTATCCAGTTTGATTGTTTTTCTGACCAATAATTCACTTACAAACTAACCCGAAATATCATACTTTTCTGTAAAATAAACATTGACCTACACTTTCATAACTATTCAAAAGACTTTCGTTCAAGCGATTTGTACTAAACATGATATAAAATATGGTGACTTTTCACATTACAAGACTAATGCAACATGCCGGGAAGAAAATAGTAGGTACTGTTCAAATTAAAATAAAATTTTCCCTTAGTAGGCTTTTGGTTAATGCGTTTAATGAATCAAGTCGTTGAAGTATAATGAAGAAGAACAACTCAATGTTTGTTTGAGCGTTGTTGAAAACGAAAAAAACTAATATTATAGAAGTATTAGTGAAGATACAGGGGTTGGCAGAGAAACTGTGAGAAGAATTTTGCACAAAAATAAATTGAAAATGAAAATTGAAAATGCCTCAAAGTCTGTCAATGAAAGGACTATACTTTATACAGGGCTTTTCATGATGAGCGTTAATTAGCCGTTTCTGGCAACTATTCAACGGATCAACCTGAAAATTACACAATATGCATAAGTCAATATGACCTACACGCCTAAAATATTTTAGATGAAGCGGCGTTGTCGCTTCTACTATAAAGTAGCGGCTTCTTTCATTTTTCAAATGGAACACCCCGTATATAATATCATATTATGGTTCATTATCACTTCATCAACAAATTCATATACTATTTTCCTATACCTATCTATTACCGTTTAGAAGATATAAATTAATTTCGATATTTTTTTTACCAAACATGAACTTTTATAAATGCTGATAATCTTGAACTCTCTTGCACTAGAACGATCAAATTTGAAATGGAGTAGAGTGATACTACAAGGATCTTCACTCCGAGTCATATTTTCATTTGCCTCATACAGGGTCTTCAAAAAATTCAGATACTTTGATCTCATAAAAAAATGAGTGGAACTCAATTTTTTCAAACGGAACACCTTGTATGTATATCTCAACATTTTTGAGCTCTATATCCAATTTTTGTTTAACTTTGTTCAGATAATACTATTTCTATTTTGAACCGTTTTCGAGATAAACTGTTTCAAACGGAAATTGACATGGTTTCCCTGCTCATCACTCATTTTTGTAAAACAGATTTCGTTTGATGTTTCTCAATTTGTCACAGATAATACAATGAAAAGAAAATTAATAAAATACTCCTCAACCATCGAATGAAACTTTTCTTCAAACAATAGTTTTATTAACGCTGAAACACGAACTGAAAATAATAAACCCATAAATTAATGAGTTAATTCAAAAAAACGAGCAAGAAAACCACGTCAGTTTCCGTTTGAAACAGTTTATCTCGAAAACTGTTCAAAATAGAAATAGTATTATCTGAACAAAGTTGATCTGAAATTGGATGTAGACCTCAAAAATGTTGAAATATATAGGGTGTTATATTTGAAAAAATTGAGTTTAACTCATTTTTTCATGAGATCAAAGTATCTTCATTTTTTGAAGACCCTGTATGAGGCAAATGAAAATTTGACTCGGAGTGAAGATCCTCATAGTATCACTCCACTCCACTTCAAATTTGATCGTTTTAGTGCAAGAGAGTTCAAGATTATCAGCATTTATAAAAGTTCATGCTTGGTAAAAAAAATATCGAAATTAATTTATATCTTCTAAACGGTAATAGATAGGTATAGGAAAATAGTATATGAATTTGTTGACAAAGTGATAATGAATCATAATATGATATTATATACGGGGTGTTCCATTTGAAAAATCAAAGAAGCCGCTACTTTATAGTAGAAGCGACAACGCCGCTTCGTCTAAAATATTTTAGGCGTGTAGGTCATATTGATATATGCATACTGTGAAATTTTCAGGTTGATCCGTTAAATAGTTTGTCAGAAACGGCTAATTAACGCTCACCATGAAAAGCCCTGTATAGAAAGGGACGAATAGGACGGCATACTGAATGATGAATTCGGGTTCTTTATTATTGAGATGAATCAATGAAAGATATGATATTTTGTTGTGAATTCGGTTATAGCTATTTTGGTTTATT